ATCACTGGGGTGTTGTGTTTGCAGCAGCAGTGAGCAACTCCTGAGCATTCCTGGAGAAAATTCCCAGCTGGGATCACTGGGGCCTGTGTGACAGTGCTCTATAGAAATGCAGGTGTTGTGGAGGAGGAAGACTGGATTCATCCTGAGTCAGGAGAATGTCCCAGGGTTTAGCAGGAGGTGTCCCTGTGGGCTGGAACATGGGGCTGGTTCTCCTGCAGGAGCAGGGAGGGAGGGATGGTTCCATCCATGGCACACAAACACCTGGGTCTTGTGATGCCTTTGGAAGCCAGGGAGCTGCCACACTGCAGGCCAGCTCCAGGGTGAAAAATGGCTTTTTCTGGAACAATTGCAGTTCACTCAGTGCTTGGGGAAAGAAGGAAAGTGGTAATTAAGGATGTTGCTGAAAGTGTGTTTTGAGGAGTAGTAAATGAACATCAGGGAGGAGGACACTTCCATGGGTGTCCCAGTGCTGGGACAAGCCAGCTTTGGGTTGATAAACTCCAAAGGACAAGTGGTAGCCTTGCATTTCCTGAGGCCCTCCCACCTCCCCAGGCTGCTGAGAGTTTGTGGCTGTCCTGCAGGTGCTGCTTCCATCCCTCCAGTGTCACTGACCTGCACCCCCCGTGCAAAGCCCCTCCCTCTGAGAGGGAACTGCTCTGGTAAACACAGGTCATGAAAAATAGAATATTGCTGGTGACAGAAAAGCCTGAAAAGTGGGAAATGTGACAAGGGCTACTGCTGTTCTCACAGGAGTGGTGGGGGTTGTGTAAGAAAATGAGACTGGATTTGTTTGATGTGTGGTGATCCTGTTGGATGCCTTTTATCTTACCTTGAATATTTATGACAATAGCGAGCAGAGAGAGAGAGGGACCCCCTGCTTTCAGCTGGGGTGTACCATGGAGTCACTGGAGGTGCTGGGTGTATCCTGCCCTCCCTCCTGGAGACCCAGCACTGATATCCACAGTGTGTTCCTCAGGGTCATTGGTGTTTTAAGATACTTTTTGATGGAATGGTTTTGCTTCTTCTTTTCTTTTTGCTTGTCTTGGTGTCTCCTGGTTGCCTCTCACTTGATCCTGATTTTATTCTGGAAGGTGGATGGTTCAAGACCTTTTAGTGACTCTTCTTTTCCCATTGTGGCAATGAAGGGAAGGTGTCTGGCACTGCTCACAATTTACAGGTGAACAACAACATCACATCTGCCCTGCTCACTGATGTCCTGCCTTGGAAAAACTGGCTGCAAACATTTTTTTCCGGGGTGGATTATTGAATTATCTACTGACAGGCAATAGGTTGACATCTTTTCTGATGTGAGACCAACATGTGCCTGAGGGCAAACAAGCTTTTTGTGGACTGGAATGGTTTTCAGTCCACATGTGAGCAGTGATCTGTTGGAGAGGCAGATGTGATGTTAAAGCTGCAGTTTTTAACTCTCACCCACAGTTAATTGTTGGAGAGCTCTTGGTCACATGTCCAGTGACAGTGTCTTAAATAAACTTGCCATGCAACTTGTATTACTGAATTAATATTGCCAGCACTTCTTGACACATGGTTACAGCCTGTTATTAATTTCTCCTCGAATAAATTATTACAGTGTGTGGCAGGTCAGAGAACTCTTCTGGCCAAGTGCTCTTGGTACAGTTGGGCAGTGTCTCCTCTGAGAGGTACCAGCTTGAGCTGAAGATGCTGAGGAGCTGCTTTTTAGCCCTTCCCAGCTGCATCTGGCTGAGTTTCTGTGCCTGGATAAATAGATGCAGAAATAAGTACTGGTAGTGGTTGGTTTATTGCTCATTTATTGCACTGGATCACAGAGGGAGGGGTCTTGGGCAAGGCTGAGATGTGGAAGGACACTGCCTGTGGGAAGGAAAACACTGGGATTTGTTTTAAAGACTTTTTTGGGGATTTTTTTTTTTGCTCCTGGTTTTCTAAGAGTTTGGTTCAAGGTACTCTCAGAGCACACAGGGCAACTCAGTAGCAGAGGTTTTTAAATTAGCACTTGGTGTAGCCACAAGTGGAGATAAGATAGTGCTGTTTGTCTATTAAGAATAGAAAATATTTCATCAGGACTATTAACTGCTGTTATTCCAGTGCTGATTGAATTACTGGGAGTGTTGTACCTGATGTGTCACTCCTTCAAGGTTTTATTAGGTGTACAATTAATGTTTCTATTAACAGTTCTTACTGTCATATGCAATTTACTCCTATTTGTTGTAAAATTTTTATTTCTGCTGTGTTACCTGAACTGAGAACTTCCTTCTGCTTTTGGTAGGGCCAATAAATTTGTCAAGTGTGGAAACTAATTAGCACAATTAGTAATAAAGACATGAGCTTTGCTGAGAAGTTGAGAACTGAGAGAGCCTGAAGGAATTGTCAGGCTCTACATCCACAGTCGAGGTTGTTTTGGAGAAGTAACAATTCCCATGGGATTGGTGCAGGATTTCTACAGTTACATAAAACAAGAAAAAGTTTATTAAATATTTTAACACTTTATGTTTGGTATACTGTTTAAAAATGGGCAACAGAAATTATATTGGAACTTCAGTGTAAAAGCTTTTTCTCCAAATCTGGAATTTGATGGAAAATGGTTTTAATTCATATTATCTTGCCATGATATTCTGGAGGAGCTGTATTATATCAGCACTATCCAGCATCTTTGCTCTTGTTTTGCATTAAAATTTCTGTGCCTGTCACCCCTTCAAGTCACTTAAAATGAAATTTCTTGGATTCCTTTCATATTGAAAGTTTGAGTCAAGCAGCTTTTACCTGCTGTGTGTTACATGGGGAAACTTTTTAGCATAAAACAGTGTTCTGGCAGAGAAGTGCTGGTCTGGAATTTTGTCAGTCATTTTTGATTTCTGATTGCAGATGTGTGTCCAGAGTGTGTCACTTACCCAGCATTTCAATCTCTTGTGTTGCAGCCTTTAATCTGGACAATGAACAGCCAGATTATGATATGGACTCTGAGGATGAGACCCTACTGAACAGGCTGAACAGGAAGATGGAAATCAAGCCACTGCAGTTTGAAATTATGGTTGACAGACTCGAAAAAGCCAGTTCTAGTCAGGTATGGTGTGAAGAAATCACTGAGAGGTTTTGCTTTCCTGGGGGGTGGTTCTGGGTGGGTGCTTGGTTTTATTTCCTGCTAAGAGGAGAAGTGTTTGTGTGAGTCTGCAGAACCACAGAAGTCACCTTGCTGTGTCCTGTGTCAGTGTTGGTAACTTCAGATAAAACTGGTGGGGAAGGAGCTTTTGGGGTTTTGCAGGGATTGATTTTTCAGTTTTAATTCCTGACCCACAGTGTGTTGGAGACACACAGCTTGTTTTACCACTGTTGTCATGGAATAAGCTTGTGATAATTAATAAATGTAGAAATGGCCATAAACACACGAGAATCCAAATTTTGTTATCCTTGTTTCTGCTGGATATTGACTTTGCTTGGTTTTTGAGGGTTAGAAGCACAGACAGTGAATTAACCTTGTGTTAAATCAAGTGTTCCAGGAGGGCAGTGTCTGCAGAAGGGTCTTACAGCCCAAAATATTTACTCCAGAACTACCCCTGAGGGATCAGTTTGTGCAAGTCAGGTGTGGAGTTATTTCCCAGTGAGATGAGGCTTTGTGGAAGTGAAAATCCATTGTGAGATCCATGGCTCTGCCTCAGCTCCTTAACCTGATTTAGTTCAGTGGTGTCTGTTAAAAGGCCAAAATATTGTATTTTTCTCCATCTTAGAGCAACTTCAGAAAGGCAGAGATTTCTTAGTGTGCTGAGAAAATGGGAATGAAGGGGAAAAGAGGAAATACATTGGATGATGTTTGTTGAAAAGGTACTTGGGCTTGTTTGGAGCTTTGATAAAGACAGTTCAGGCCATTGTGGTGATCAATATTCATCCTTCTGGTGCTGCTTTCACCTTTCTTTGCTGCAGTAATGAAATTAAGATTTGAAGATGTTTTTCAAAAATCAAGTATTAGAAGAATGCAAGTTTTTCTCTCTAGATACAAGCAGCTCTTGCAGGTTATAGGAGCCTGGAAAGGAAAGTGGCTGCTGGGGTTTGAGTGCTGCCAATTCCCAGCTGCCATGCCTTACCCCTGGAATATTAAAGGATGTTGCTGGGAATTCCTTCCCTGCCCAGGAAGGGTTCCAGGCTTTCCTCCTGGGCATTCTGATTTAAGCAGGGAATACAAGGACTCTGCATCTGCCAGCAAACACCAGCACACAGGATCAGCTTCACTTTCCCAGCTCTGCACTCAAGGCAGAGTTCATTTATTTAAATTAGAAATATGTTAATGGAAAAAAGGGAGCGAAAGACAAAACTGAAATGATTTCTAAACAATGTTTTTCTGTTTATTGAAAAAGCAGTTCAGTGCTTTTCTAATTCTACCATAGATTGCAAAGGTTTTATTCTGCTCAGGCTGGAATTAACACTTGCAGAGTAGCCATGGTTACACTGAGGATTTCCTTAGTTTTCCAAAATGTGTTGTTTCCTTTTTTTGCTTCTCTCAACGTAGGGACAAGATTCAAGTTTGACACATTGCAAAAGTGCAAATTAAGTTGTTTAGTTGATATTTTTCAAATTATGGGGCAGATGAAGTGCTGCCTGACTTCTTCTGAAGTAGTACTAGAGGTACTATTTTCTTTTTATGTAATGAATGGGTTGAAGATGATATGAGCCTGTTGAACTCAGTACTGTTTAGTGATACTTTTGCATTTATTTAGAGTCTGATTTCCATATTAAAAAGTAGAACCTAGATTAAATTTTTATCTTTAAATGACCTGTGTAGAACTACCACCCACTGAAGTAACTTAACAAACAAGTGAACAGCTTTGTGTCTCCAGGCTGGAATAAACAGGGATGGGCATTGTCCTGTTCTATCACAAAGTAAACGTTTGGGAGGGAAATAATTAAGAAGTAAATTTACTTCTAGGGGAATCAACATTCAACTGCAAAGAATTACACATTAATAAAGGTTAACCAATAAGAAACGTTTATTTTTTTTTTTTAGGAAAAAATAGTCAGATTAAAGTGATTCCCAAATCATGACCTGCAGACTGTAGTAAGTTCTTTCTAGCCTATGCTTGTAGTTGTTTCAAAGTATATTCAGATTTAATGAAAAATTGATGGAGTTCTAGACCATTGGATGAAATAGATGCTGCTGGTTCAGAACAATTGGGAACTCTAACTTGGGAAGAACAACTGGTGGCTTCAATTTCCATCAATATTTTTTTCATCCCTTTACTGTGGTGCTGAAAAATAACCAGAAATAACGCAGTTTATCCACAAAGTGCACCATTGGTGTGAGTGTGTGATGACTTTGCCTTCACCCCCGTGCCAAGTGCAGCTTTTCCCTGTTTCCCCCTGCAGCTTGTGACCCTTCAGGAAGCCAAACTGCTGCTGAACGAGGACGATTACCTGATCAAGGCTGTCTATGATTACTGGGTGAGGAAACGCAAGAACTGCCGGGGGCCCTCGCTCATCCCCCAAATCAAGCAGGAGAAGAGGGATGGCTCCACCAACAACGACCCCTACGTGGCCTTCCGCAGGAGAACTGAGAAGATGCAGACCAGAAAGGTGATTTGGCACACTCTGCTGCTTGGAATTTTATATTTCTCCCTTGGTAGGGAAAATTTGGATCCCTTGTCCAGCATCTAACAGGGCACAGTTTATTGTCCGTCCATGCTGAAACTCAGAGCAATGCCTGGCACACCAACAGCCTGCTGGGTTGGAAGCTTCCCTTTCTGTGAGAAAAGGGGAAAGAATTTCCCAGTTTTTATATTTGTAGCATGGAATGATTGGAACCAGGAAATCTGTGATCACCCAGCATTTTGTTTTGTACACATGCACAGCCTTACTGTGTGTGGGATCAAGGTAGGCTTGAATTCCATGTTCTGACAAATTTCCACTGGGTTGATCTGGAATCTCAGCAAAACATGGGGGGAAATGGCTGAAAAACTCTTCTCAGTTTACTCTTAAAACTGGGCTTGTTTGCTTTTTGTGGCTTTGTTTGCCAAGTAGGATCTGCTTTAGGAAAAGCTGCTTTGGAGTGTCCTCATGAGCCTCGTTTGCAGCAGCATTATATAACTTTATTTTTGCAGTTTGTGCCTCGTGGCTTTTGCTTTTGACTAAAAATTTGTTTCATCTCTCAACAGAACCGAAAGAATGATGAAGCATCTTATGAGAAGATGTTGAAATTAAGGAGGGAGTTTAGCAGAGCCATAACAATTTTGGAGATGATTAAGAGGAGAGAGAAAACAAAACGGGAGCTGTTGCATTTAACGTTGGAAGTTGTGGAGAAAAGGTAAAATTCCAGATTATAAAAACCAAGTGTTTATATTTTCATTAAATGGTTTTGAAATCATCTCTTGTAATTTATTAATTCTAGCACCATAAACTTCAGGAACTAAAAGAGAAGGGGTTTGTGTAGACAATTCTAAGACACTGATTTGTGTCTTTCAGACATTTCCCAGTGGAAATGCATCCCTATAGTTTTAATCCTGGTTTTTTTTAGGTACCATTTGGGTGATTATGGAGGTGAAATCCTCAATGAAGTGAAGCTGAACAGGCCTGAAAAAGAGATGGGCACAACTCCATCATCTCTCCACAATGGGAACCACCACAAAGTTCAAGAATGTAAAGTTAAGGTAAGATTTCTTTTTCCCTGTTGTTCCCGAGATCATCACTCCTTTAGGATCATCACCTTTGGATATAATTTAATTTCAGACCTGTCTCTGAAGAAATAACCTGAAATATTAAAGAGTTAAAATGCTTGGGGGTGAGGCTAAGAGTTGGAGACGTCTGGAAATTTGTATTTAGCACCTGCGACACCTAGTGGTCCCAGAATTCCATACAAAGCCCAGAATGCCTGCTTCTCCAGGAATTTTGGCATTCCTCGTTGTTTCTCCTCTTGTTCCCAAGCTGAGCTGCTGGAGTTAGTTTCAGTCAGGCTGTTATTGATGAGTGTTAATTCAGGGTAAATTTAAACACTTTTTAAAGCAGCATTGGTGCTACTCCTTCAAATGGAGATTTTGCAAGTGAAATAATCTTTTCAAATGGGAGCTTTGAAGTTTAATAACATTTGTGTTCAAGTGGACAGTTCAATATAGATGGAATTGCTCACTGCAGAGGGTTTATGTGAGAAAAATCTTAAATAGCCAACCCAAATACCATCACATCTGTTCAAAAGTGTCAGCTCTGTGAGAAACAGGAAACAAATTAAATTGTTTCTTTTGAACATGTCCGAGCAGTTCAGAAAATTGAAAGTGCTGGGGAAAAATGAGATCTCAGAAAATAATTGGAAGAGGAATTTCAATGACAAAATATACTGAGTGTAGTGCAGAGTGAGGAGCCTCTCAGGCACTCACATGGGCTTGAGAGCTCTCTGATCATTAATAAATACCTGTAAAAACAATCAGAGGAAAAATTCCGGCGTTTAATGTGTTCAGTAAATTTTGCATCATGTGTCTCAAATTCCCTGCAGAACCTTTGGGAGACAAGCAGCCTTGTCTTGAAGTCCTGGAAGTTTTCTCCTGCTTTAGTTTTTAGAATTTCCTGTTTGTTTTTCCCGAGCAGCATCCTCACCACTCCTCTCTGAAGGAGGAGGTGTCCGACGTTGTCCGTCAGAAGAAGAAATACCTGAAGAAGCCCAAACTGGAGTGTGTGGTGACCCCTCAGCCCCTGGCTGAGCCCTTGCCTGTGCTCAGCAAGAGTGACATCAAACAGTATGACTTCCACAGCTCTGATGAGGATGAGTTTCCACAGGTAAGCACCAAAATCTCAGTGTGCACGAGGCAGGAATTCCACTTAGCTGCCATTTCACCAGTCTGTCCCAACTCTGAATATATTTCAAAGCTCCTTGTATGAGCTGAGTTTTCCTTCCAAGCTATATAAACGTGGCAGTTCATGTTGCATGAATACAAATTTTTATAATAAATCCAATTATGCAGATGTGGCAGCTGGAGAATGACGTTGTTTTCTGGTCTAGGTACCCTCACCAGTGTCAGAAGCAGAAGAAGAAAATGATCCTGATGGACCTTGTGCTTTCAGGAGAAGAGCAGGATGCCAGTATTATGCTGTAAGAATATGCAGTATTGTGCTGTGCTGTTGGGTTTCTTTAAATTTAAGTTGGCATAGTGCTAATGTTGGATTTCTGTTCCCACCCTCACCACCAAAGCTTTGATGCTTTGGTGAGTCCAAAGACAACTGTAGGAGTGTCCCCTTTTCTGCTTGGCTCTGAAGGGTCCAAGCTGAACTTCCCACTTGCTTAAAATTCATCCTCCTTTCTTTTTGACCTTAGCCTGTGAGTTAATTCCTTTGCCAAAAGCTGTTGAGATAGCTGAAAACTTTTATTTTCATTTTCTCCAACTTTTCCATTGCTGTTAGAAGCAGAGCATTTAACAGCCTCGATGTTAAAAGTTGATTTTTTAACTACTGAAGCTATTATTGGTTAACAGAACATAAACCACATGTTCTGTCCTGGAGCCTGAGCCCTAATCAAAGCACCCTTGGAGTATAAAATCGCTTTTCTTTTTTCACAGCCTCGTTTGGACCAAACGAATTCTTCGTACGAAAACCCAGAATTGGCAGAATTGGACAAACTGAGGTTCAGGCATTGCCTTACAACCCTCACAATCCCAAGGAGATGTATAGGATTTGCAAGGAGGAGGATTGGCAGGGGTGGAAGGTACAGTTGGGTTCTTTTTGAATTCAAAGATTTAAAACTATGAAGAAGAGATGATGAAGCTAATGATTTTCCTCCTCCTCCTCTTGAATCAGGGTTATCATGGACCGAATATCCACAGAACACGATCCTGTCCTGAGGCAGATTGACCCGGAAATGCTCAACAGTTTTTCAAGCTCTTCCCAGACTTTAGACTTTTCTTCTAATTTTTCACGGACCAATGCTTCCAATAAACATTGTGAAAACAGACTGTCCCTTCCTGAAATCCTAAGCAATATCAGATCATGTCGACTGCAGTGTTTCCAGCCCAGGCTACTCAATCTCCAGGACAGTGATAGTGAAGAATGTACCTCAAGGAAAGCAGGGCAGACTGTGAATAATAAAAGAGTCTCTGCAGCATCTGTAGCTTTATTGAACACCAGCAAGAATGGCATATCAGGTAAGCAAGGATTTGACTGCTTCTGGGATTTAAAATATTGAATTTTGGGGGGTTTCCTTTGTGGCTGGACTGATGAGATCTTCAGCACTTCAGCACAGCTACAACCTGACTATTTCATATTTCTTAAAACATACAGAAACTTCCCACAAACACTTCTTCCTCCTGCTTTTCTTCCATTAGAATTTGAAGTGTTGGATTCAGACATTATTCAAAGCAGGGATTCTGCCCATATGAAGAATTGTTTAGGTCTAATTAAATCTTAATGGCACTAATTGGTCTAACCTTGTTTAAGGGTAGAGGAATGCTCATTATGAATGCAAAACAAATCTGGTGGTTTCTTGGGGAGGGTGGGTGTGGCTCATTTTTGTTGGCAGTTTCATTTTTGACTCAAAGCAAATGTAGGAAGTTCCTAAGTGCCCTGAGCAGACATGAAAAGGTCGGAAAATAGTAAAAATGTTAATAGTGGAAGCATCCAGTGATGAAAAACTTGCTTTAAGCTTAAATTGAGCAGTGCTTGCATCACTTGTTTCATGAGCTAGAGTTGTAATGGCTCAAGTTTTAACACTGTCACTTCTTTATGATCATAAGGGGGTGATAATGATGTGATTCTCCAAAAATCTGAAAAATTTGAGACACAGCAAATGAGATTTCCTACAACAGCAAACACCTGAGCATATCCCTGTTCCATCCTGCATTATAAAGCTGGATAATGAAATAATAGAATGGACTGACTGAATTCCATAATTTCTGTGGTTGTGGAATGTTCCATCTCTCTCAGAGTTTCAGGAATGGGTATTTATTCTCCAATAATGTATCTCTAGAATTCCTGGGTACTGTTAAATTGTTAAAACAGAGGCACAGGACATTTATTCCAGCCCAATACTTCCCCAGCTTCTCAGTATGGTCACTGTAACCTTTGGATTGTTCTCTGCCATGAGAAGATTGGCACAGGAGCCTTTTCCTCCTGCATGAAGAAAACAGATACAATGCACTATATATTTTATAAAATCATTATTTTTTGAAAGAATTTAAAGGCCTGAGGGATCCCAGTTGGGGCAGAAAGGGGCAGTTGAGTGTGATGGGATTGTTGATAAACACCAAGAGCTGCAAAATGAATAAAACCAAATCTGATGGATTGAAGCCACTTTTTGGAGGAATAGTAATAAACTTGTGGTATAATTTTAGAAATCATCTGAGGAATACATTTAAATTAAATGGAAATCCCTCAGTAGTTGAAGCACATTATGCATGGAATTTATGGCTGGGGAGGACCTTTTTTGTCACAGATTTAAATTACAAACCAGATCCTGCAATTCTGGAACAGGATCAGACACAACAGATAACAGAATTCTTCCCCAAGTAACTGAACTAGCAAGAGGCACTGCAGTTGGATTTTCTCACTAGCAAAAAGGGAATAAATGTTAAAAGGACTGGTCAGAGTCTTGTTGTGCATTAAAAATGAGCACAGGCACTGTCACTGTATTTATTCAAGTCATTCTCTTTGGGAAGGAATTGTTGAAATCAGTTAATTTTACAGCTGATTGGATATTCCCTCCAGAGGAAACGGTGGCAGTACTTAAGCTGATTATTTTAATTTTTATTATTATTTTATTTCAGAGACAACTGGGGAGTTCCTTTGATTTTTGGTGCACGAGAATATTTAAAATTGCCTCTGTGTTACATTTTTCCCTGTATTAATAAAGCAACTCTAGTATTTCCTCAAATGCATTGTACAGACACAACTCTTTTTTTTTATTTTAAAAGTCTGTGACTACATTTTTTCTTCAAAATACCTGAAGAGTGCATGAATCATGAACCAATTTTTGGAGCTAAATTATTCTCTTGCTCATGTTTTAAGCACTACAAATGAGAAGAGTCAGTCCCTAGGGAGAGGACAGACAAGTGCCCATGATGCTGTTCCCAGCTGAAGGCTTTTGTTTGTGGAACAAACTTTTTATTTTTTAGAGGTATTTTTTTTCCCCAGCCTTAAATACCACATAGGATTAATTCAAGCAATGCCACTTTTGTGGCTGCCTGCAAGATGATCTTTGGATAAAACCTTCAAGTCTTGAGAGAAGTGACATAATCCAAACCTTCCAAGGAGAGAAGAGCCTGGAAGGGAAAGCTGAAGTGATTTTTCTTTCTTTTTTTTTTTTTTTTGAGCCCAGTCAGGCTCTGATAAAATCAAAACCTCCTGGAGCTGCAGAGCTCTTAACCCTGACCTCAGAGGCTGCCCTGGGACATGGTCAGAGTTTGCTCTTTTTTTTTTTTTTTTTTTTTTTTTCCTTCAGGACCCTCCAGATGTTTGATTTGGCAGAAGGAAATGATATTTAATGTGCTAATGAACATCTGCTGGTTTATAACAAGGTGAACAGCTGAGCTCAGCCTGGCCACTGGATAAATACCTGAAATTCAGGCTAAGGGAATATTGAATTCTGTATCCTGCAATAGAATATTCCATGACTTTGTGCTCTGTGGCAAACTGGGAAGGACAGGAGACTGAAAACATGAATTCTCACCTTGTTCTTCAATATCTTTCTATAAAACAAACCACATTTTCTGGGATTTGTTACCTCAGAAGTTAAAAATAGGAATATATGTAATATTCCATAATGCTGTTCTTGGCCCTGGTGCCTTCAGCAATGCCATGTGTTCTGTGAGGAAATGTAGCAGGTTGAGCTGATTTCACTTGGAATTAAATTCTAGGTAAGAATCTGCAAGAGGAACAAAGTAAAGCTAAATGCAAAATAAACTTAGATTGGAAATTATAATATTGCTAGAGTGTAAGAGGAATAATTTTTAAGTAACTGGAATTTTAACCACGGACAACACCATGGTTGACATCTGCTTTAATAATGTAACAATAAAGAAGTTTCAGTTCTAATTTCTGAGTAAATCAGATAGGTTTTCCCAATGGAATTTCAGGACACCCATGAGTACTAAAAGTGGAAAATTGAAGAGGCAAACCCTGCAGGATGGGAATCTCTGTATTTCAATGTTAGCTCAGTGTCCCTGGATGGGAGGATCCCAGGTGTTTGAGGTGCAGCACAGCTCGAGTCCTGCAAAAACAGAATTGAGGATAAAATGTTGAAATGTATTCATGGGAATCTTTGAAAAGTGAATTCTTTCTTTATTTGCTCCCCAGAGAATTCAGTTCTTGGGTTCACTGCACACAACTCAGGCTTTAGCATGAAACCCTGTCAGTATTTTCAGCTTACCAGGTGTGCACATTCTTTAGGGAGAGAATATTAAAATCAGCTTTTCTAATTTCATTCCCTTCATGTGTTGGCCCAGTGAAATTACTGGGGTGGCATTAACTTGGTTCACAAAAATCAATTTACTGTGGCACCCCTAAACTCTTACTGCATTTCAGAGAACAATTGGCAGAGAAAATCTCCCGTGCCAGATGTGTGCTTCCCTCAGAGTCCCTGCTGCTGCTGGAAAAGGGACAGCAAGGGGCTGCAGGAAGGGAAATTGTCCAGGAATCCTCTCCCAGTGTTCACTGGGACAGAAGTCACCCAACTTTGTCCTCAGCTCTGATTTTTTAGGCTGTGCTTCTTTCTTGAAAGCCAGGAAAATAATTTCTCTTAAGCTTTTGCCTAAAGCTACTGGGGATAAAACCACCAAAGATAGAAAAGGCTCAAAAGCAACAAAAGCTCTGAATTCTTTTGTGAAAAATTGATTCCATGAAAGAACACAACAACCAAACACAGCTTGACCTCTCCTTTACATAATCTGTGAAGATCTTGGGTGCCTCTGCCGTGATTTCTGTCATCTTCAGCCACCTCTAACCCACCCTAGCTGCACTCTTGCCTTTTCCACGTGTGTGTTGTGTGTAACTTGGGGCTCCTTTCTCTCCCATAGTCACAGGGGGGATCACAGAGGAGCAGTTCCAGACACACCAACAGCAGTTAGTGCAGATGCAGAGGCAGCAGCTGGCCCAGCTGCAGCAGAAGCAGCAATCTCAGCATTCCTCCCAACAGCCACATCTGAAAGCACAGGTACTGCTCCCACCCTGCATGTCCTCACACTGCCTTTTCTTCACAGTCATCTCTCTCAACCAAATGTGACATTTGGAAATTAAAACACTTTGCTCAGGGGTTTTTTTAATAAGTTGGCTGCATTTTATAAGTTGAGGAAGAGGCTTTGTAGCTGAATGTGTTATCAGTGTAAAAATACCAGTGTGTGCTCCCAACTCTTCCTGTTTTCACTGGTTTTGTCCCTCTAAGTGCTCTGAAGAGACTTTATTAAAATTACCTTCTGAAGTAATGTGTTCTGTTCTGAACACATGTTCAGTGAGCATTAAAAATTGGTACCTGTGAGAGGAAAAAGAGAGCTTTGTATATTTGCATATTCTGGCTTCTAAAAGAATCCCATTTTTCCTCTGGAATCCCTTGCAAAGGAAAGATGTTTTTCCATTGCACTTAATATTCTGTTAGCTTCTTCCCAATAAAATATAAAAGCTGTTGCTGATGTCTGTTACTAGGAAAATGTGTATTACTTTGAGCATTTTATATCTAATTGCTTGTGCTGGTTGTTCCTTCCCCTCAATGTTTTCTACTTCAATTAATCAGAGATTCTGTGTTGGCAGATACTGATAACATTTTTTGTAAGTGTAAAGTCACGATGCCAAAATATTTAAAAAAAACAGTTGAATTTTGGAGCTTTAAAACCCTTCAAGCTTCTGTGCAAAGTCATTTTCGTAGTTAATATAAATTGAAATGGCAAAATTAATGTTCTTTCCAGTAAGAATGATGAGTCTTTCCAGTAGAAACTGGACTTAACAGAGTGGGATTCCAGAATGTGCTGGGCAGTTATTCTGTGGCACAAGTCACAGGATGGAGGTACCACAAATGCTGGACATCCTGAGGTTTGCAGCTGCAGAGCATTTGCAGCCTGGAGACAGAACAGAGAATGTTTAAGACATGGAAACATCTCCAAACATAGGGAATCCTGTGTGGTTTGGCTTGGAAGGGACCTTAAAACCTGTCCAGTTCTTGCAGGGACACCTCCCACCATCCCAGGCTGCTCCAGAGCCCAATGTCCAGCCTGGCCTTGGGCACTGCCAGGGATCCAGGGGCACCCTGTGCCAGGGCCTGCCCACCCTTCCAGCCAGGAATTTCTTCCAAGTGTCCCATCTAACCCCATCTCTGGCAGTGGGAGCCATTCCCTGTGTCCTGTCCCTCCATCCCTTGTCCCCAGTCCCTCTCCAGCTCTCCTGGAGCCCCTTCAGGCCCTGGTGGGGGCTCTGAATTCTCCCCAGAATCTTTCCCTCTCCAGGCTGAGCAGCACACAACAAAAGTGATTTATTGTGCTGAGTTGAGTGTGTTTAACCCTCATTTGGACACTGATTTCCAACTTGTCATCACTCTGCTGACACAGAAATATTCCATGCTGTGGTGCATTAGGTCACGTGTAGAAACTGTATTTATTTATTCCTTTTCATTTATTTATTCCCTTTTCATTTTGGACTTGGATGATTGAAAAAAAATCACCTTTTCCTCTTGCTGCAGGGCTCCAGCACCTCTGACTGTATGTCCAAAACCCTGGATTCAGCCAGTGCCCACTTTGCTGCCTCTGCAGTGGTCAGTGCCCCGGCCCCCGGGCGCAGCGAGGGAGCCAAGGAGCAGAACACCAGCCACAACAATATCAACGGTGTTGTCCAGCCTTCAGGTGAGGAGCCCTTGAAAATGCTGCTCTGGAATGAGCTGACAGTGTCAGCTGCTCTCCATCAGTTGATCTTATTGGTGGTTTCTGAAATGTTAGTAAATAACAATAAAAAAGTCAGATCTCTTGGTCGTGATAGTTTTCAGTATTCTTCTCTGTAGTATTTTGGAGCAGTGGTTTGAATCGTGGAATATCCTGAGTTGGAAGGGACCCACAAGGATGGTCAAAGTCCAAGAATCCCAAATCCCACCCTGTACCCGAGAGCCTTGTCCAATCTATGCTGTTAAAATGGATATAAAACCACCAAGTGCTCGTTACCTTGGAAGAGCACTGTTTGCTTTTCCTTTGGTAGTCTTTATCTCCTGATAATCTGTTCTGATCAAAAGCCTAAGTGACAGCATTTTAAAACCAGTGTGAGTGTGTAATGAAAGAATAAATCAACTGCTTAAAACATTTAAGTACTTTGAGAAGGAAATGGAAAAGTTCATTCATTATTTGATTGTTACCTCACTTATATATTCAGCCAAAAACATACTAACCAACCTTTACTGGCACTTCTGGCAGCACTGTAAGCCTCAGGTTTCACTGCATTTAGGATTTGTCCCAAGAAGTGCAGCCATGGGCACTCAGTGCCCCCTCCCAGCCCTTCTCCTCTGGTGCTGCCTCCACGATGCCAAGAGGCAAATGGGATTTGGGCTGCCAAGACAAAGAAGAGGCTTTTAAAGTAATTTGTTGTTTTAGCAGCTAATGATGTGATTAGTTTTATAGACCTTCTGCCAGGCTGGGTTAATGATAATATGAAATGAATAGAGGGAGAAAAAACTCGACTGAATAAAATCAATAAACTGGAGCAGTTCCAGCAAAGAGAGGGAGAGAGATGTGTGTGTAATTCTCTTGAGTTCATATCCAAGAGGAGAGTGCTTGGAGGGTGGAACATCAGGCACATGGTGATGCCTTGGAGTGGCTCCCTGGAACAGAGGCTAGACAAGATCAGGAGAATAAAAGTGGGTGCACTTCTTTATGCCTTCAGTAGGTACATCTTGAGCAGGCAAAGCTTCCCAGGGGCTACACCCAAAATGAACGATGGTTGTGAGTTTTTCAGATAATTAGAAGTTTGGTCTATTTACATATCAAGGGTTAATCCTCCAATTGCAGCTTTAGGTTATGAAGTCATATACCCCCGGTTTGCTTTCTCCCAGCTCACTTTTGTTTACACTTTTTGAGGCCTGAGGCAGTCAGGTCTGCTTGAGTTTCAGGCCTAGAGGGATTGTTTTGTCTGAATAAAAGCTGACAGGCTATGGAGTTTTAGAGTTATACACTAAAGCAGTACAGGATCTGAAAAATAGAAAAGCTAAATCCTAAGGCATCAATGGGAGTGTGCCATGCTGCACTTGTGAATTTTTCCATTTTGTGAATCTGTAAAATTCGAGCATTAATAACTTACACACTCAAAGCATTGCCCTTGAGGTTAATCTTTTGACTTTTCATCTAAGAAACGTCACCTTTTTAACACCCACCATTTATTCTGCTTAACAGGAACCTCCAGAACTTTATACTCCACCAACATGGCTTTATCATCCAGCCCAGGGATCTCAACTGTACAGCTTGTAAGGACAGTTGGCCACAGCACCACAAACCACTTAATCCCAGCCTTGTGCACGAGCAGCCCTCAGCCTCTCCCCATGAACAATTCCTGCCTGCCCAGCGCCGTGCACCTCAACAACGTCAGTGTTGTGTCTCCTGTCAATGTTCATATCAATACACGGACTTCAGCTCCCTCGCCAACAGCCTTAAAACTTGCCACAGTTGCTGCCAGCATGGACAGAGTGCCAAAGGTAACTCCCAGCAGTGCCATCAGCAGTATAGCAAGGTGAGTGGGGACGGGGTTGCAGCAGTTCCCATTTGGGTTTGTTGGAATCGTGGGATTGTTTGGGTTGGAATGGGCAGAATCAAATTCCAACCTCACCTGGTCAGAGCAAGCACTGAGTGTCACCTCCTGTGGAC